ATTATCAGTCAATGAAAGTCGCCCACCAGGCCCGAGAGGCGGTGAGTGAACACGGGCTTTTGTTTCTTGTTGTTTTACGCAAATTTGACGCACAACTGTTTTCAGATATCAGCTTGTGACTAACTAGCAGTGGCAGTGAACAGATGGGCACTGAACTGTCTGGTACTGTAAGCAGTGTTAAGCTAAAGGCATATGTATCCAGGTGTTGGTCGATTTGTTTTACACATGTGATGGGATTTCTATATTGTCGCTTTCACGAGCGTGGTAGTTAGCCGTCGAGCTAATCGTTAAGTTCTGCATGCACTCACTGGTTGCCTAGAGACAGCGTCAACTGGTTGTTGTTTGTGGTTGGCTGGCCCCCTCTGCTGGCAAGTGTGTTTTCCCTGTATTTCCAGCCCAATATAAAATATTCCTCCTCCACATGTTTGAACCAGGGAAGAGAAGAGAACTGAAGCATTAACGAGCACAGGCTAACTCGTTAGTTGATAATTAGTGGCTACTTTTAGTTAGACCACAGACATAAATAAATACTTTAGGGAGTGTCATTTCCATCTTTATTGTCTGTGCAGGTTCTTAGTCATCCAGGTCATGGCAGTCTTTAAGAACTTGTAAAAAAAAAAAAAAAGCAGTTGGGACTTCTTTAAGTTTGATGATGTTTTTCATCTTTCACCCGAGAGGTTTCTTAAGTTCTAAAAACAGCAGGTGGAGGGTGCAAGGTATTTAACCAATAGTGGGAATTTTCACAAGCTTAAAGAAGTACAGTTCTTGAGACTTCCATCTTTACTGAAATTAGGCATACAGTTAAAGCCCGTGGGTAGCACAGTGGTAAAGAGTTTTGCCTCCCAAAGAGGTCTATCCACAGGCCAGCTGGCATGTCTCTGTGTGGAGTTTGGATGTTCTCCTCGTGTCTGTGTGGGTTCTCTTCAGCTACTCTGGCTTCCTCACACAATTCAAACACATGGACATTAGTTTAATCAATGACTCTTAACTTGATCATAAGATAGGAATGTGTTAGCCCTGCGTTAGGTTGGCAGCATGTCCACGGTGTACCATGCCTCTCGCTATATGACAGCTGGCACAGACTCAGCCTAATGGTGACCCTGATTGGATAAGGCGAAGTAAAAGGATGAATGAATGGAGTTCCAACCAGTATTTGTTGAGTGCTGTGGCTCACTTGTGTAATGCTTTTGCTATTATGCATAGCATCATGGCCTAAAATAATACTGTAAAATGTTATATCTTGCTATAACCTGTATATGGAGTGGCTAATTTCTTTGCATTTCAGTGATTCACTTTAAAGTTTTGTTTATCCATAAGTTGTGACACTTCATATCCTTCTGTTAAAAAAATCCTAATATTCTTCTAAAATATTTTGCTTTTGGGGGGACTGTATTGGTCTTTATTAGACCATATCTGTTCTTCATGACACCTGTGACAAATTGAACAATATTATTTGGTAGTTTTTTCTCATATAACAGCTCCATTTGAATTCCCCTTTTGTCCTCTTGTTGTTGCTGTTCTTGTTGCTGTCCAACAGGATGAGCAGAGGACTGAGATGAGGAAGAAAAGTCTCCTCATCCTCATCTATCACCACCTGCTGGGGCAAGGGTCAGTATAAAATTGTGTGTGTGTGGATGCATCAAGTGGTGATCAAAAAGATGAACTTTTCTTTTAAGTACATTTTTAGCATCAGGTTTAGATACGGACTTTTAAAACAGGTGGCTGAGTTTCTTTGATCAGAGCAAGTAGAATACATAAATTCACTCTTTGTTACTTCAAAACAGAATGGCATTATGCAAAATGGCATTGCTGGTTTATTATTGAATAAGTGGTAACAAACCAACCAAAAGGTCATATTTGTATGTCTGTATAGAAAAAGTGAAGTGCAATTCATCAAGACAAGCACATCAAAAATCTGTTCCTTGCAATGTGTCTGTCCACCAGCTATGTAGCTGCAGCAGTGGCCTTGGATCAAGAGACAAATGGAGGTGTGAGGAGGTTCGAGGTTAGCGATAACATCGATCTGGAGATGGTGTTGATGGAGTATGAGAGCTACCACTACGTCAAATTCCAGAAGTATCCCAAACTTATCAGAAGAATAGCAGAAGCAGGTACAAGAACTCTGCTGAAACACTGAGAAGCAATGAAAATTATATCTCATGCTCTGTAAAATTATTAAAAACTAACTTATAGTCTTAGCATGTTTTTTTCTGATATTTTTTTCTGTCCAGGTGAAAGAAAATATCCAACACGTAGTGCAACTAAGAGGTGAGTCAGTCACGGGCCAAGTATGCTGTGCATACATGCTCACAGTAGAGGTGGGGGAAAATCGATACAACATCGAATCTCAGTATTTTCGGTGGCAATATTGTATCGATAAAGCAACACAGACACTGTCTTATGGCGACATTTAGGGCAGAAAAAACAAAAACTTATTGCATAAAACAGATATTGACAGGTTGAACTTTGAGGAGATAATTTGTAGTTGAAATGGGTGATAAATTGCAAATATGTTATTGCAAAACTCAGCATGTCACAAAATGTTAAAAATCACAATAATAATTATGAGTGAAGTATTGTGATAATATTGTATCATGGGTGTGTCTGGTGATTCCCACCTGAATATATAACAATAAGTGAGTCTGCCATGCTGCTAGTCCATGCATGACAGTTAAAAAAAGACATGTGTTTTGTTTTTTATTTGTCCCCAGGAGTCCCCGTTCAGCTGTGAAACCCCTCCCAGAAATCAACCCTTCCCGGAACACAAACACAGGAACTGGAGCAAAGAAGCCAGCCACTAGTGTACGGGCAAATGTGGAAAAATGAAGTCAAATCAAAACAACTCTGTACTCTAGCTAGCAATTATTCTGACATTTATGTTAATTTCCTAGGAGAATGGCACCTATCTTGCTCCACAGTCATCGGACTTTGGTCTCAGCGTATCCTCCATCAAAAATGCACCAGCTGGAGAGTGTGCCACAAACAGGAAGGTACTGGAGAAGTGAATACTCTGAGAACAGAAGCAAACCTCATCGTCCCAATTGAAGTTAATCACATTTTTTTCTTGTATGACATTTATGAGACGGTTTTCATTTTACGATGATGCTGCAGCAGGATGCTAACAAAATTGTTTATGTTTAATTCATTACAACATAAACCAGCACCTTTATGATCTGGGGTTGATTTGGCAGTGCCAAATGCAAAAACATAAAATAGAAGTCCTCACCCTTTTTAAAACAAAATTACCGCTGTCACTTTTGTTCCTATTATGTTCTCTTATGTATCTTGGGGGCAGATGACTGATGCCAAAGGTGCAATCCAGGATGCTGTCAGAGGAGCTGGGATTGATTCAGACCATATGGTAATTATGCTGGAGCCTTTGAACTAAACTGACTTATAAAAAAGGTCATAATATTCAGACAAGCTTCAAACAACTGTGAAATGTGTAAAAATATATTTTGGTAACAGTCTGAATTGTCCAAAATAAAAACTATTTGAAGGCTACAAAAAGTACAAAATGTCTACTGATAATAATAAAAAGTCTATGTTGCAGGAACGCCTACTGAAGCCACTGAGTGGCTTTTCTGGAATGAGTGGTGAGATGAGGGCACTAGCTACGATCGTCAGCAGGGTAAACACACACACACACACACACACACACACACACACACACACACACACACACACACACACACACA